AAAATTCTTATTAACCGAATTTCAATTACAACTATCCGTAATAGGACCGCTCTTACTCCTTTACTAACTTTAACTCCTCGACTAACCCCGAGGAATAAAGCCGCTACCCCTACTAAAGTAGCTATAATACTATTAGAACTAATATTAATTAATAAAATTATTAACCTTAATTAAATAATACTAGTACTATTAAACCCTATATTAAGAATTTTCGAAGCCGGTTATTAATCTACCTCTACCTCTATTAAAATACTAATAATTAATAAAGCCGGGTCTAAAATCGGTATTATAGGTACGGCCGTATTTCTTATTAAAATTAAAAGTCCAATACCCTACGAACCTTATATCCGCCTTAATAGTTAACGCGTCTCCGCGGGTATAAAACGCCCCTAAGCCTACTATTATTATAACTCCAACGATGCTTCTCCTATTAAATCTAACAATATTAAAAAGTTTAACGTAGCTACTTTCAACTTTATCTACGAATTTTAGTAATTATAACCGTATATTATAAACTATATTAAAATCAAAAAGTTAGCGGCTATAGTAGAAGTCTAGGATATAAATTTAATTAAAAAAATAATTATTAGTATAATAGAGGGTAACGGATAGTAGTTTAAAGAAAGTCTTCCCCTATTCCTCTATAATTTTATTAATAACCTAACTAATACTTACTCTTCCAGGGAATTTAAAAAGGCTATAGTCCTTACTAAAATAATTTACTTTATTAGAAACCTTAACGAAGATACCTTATTCTATAAGGAAATAATCCGCTATATATACTTAATTAAAATTTCTAATAAAAATATAAAGAAATTTCTTAATAAGGCTAATTATCTAATTAAAATAAAGGACGAAATTCTCGCTATTTTAAAAGAATTAGAGGGATAATAATATATTAATAAAGTAGTAGCCTTCCTCCTATTATTAATTAAAGAAATCCCGCCCAACTATTCGTACAATTATAAAATTAAATTCCAACCGGGAATAACCCCCCCCAATACGCGCCCGTACTATATATCCCCGATCGAAACCGTCGTTATTAAGAAGTAAATTAATAAGAATTTAAGAAAGAATTTTATTTATTTATTATAGTCTACGGCCGCATCTCCTATCCTTTTAATAAAGAAGCCCGGCGGTAGCGTCTATATTTATATTAATTATTATAGTATTAATAATATAATGTTAAAAATGTATTACCCGCTTTTACTAATTAAGGAGACCCTTAATACTATTTACTACGTAAAGATTTTTATTAAGTTCGATATAATTATTATATTTAATAGAATCTACGTAAAGGAAGGATATAAATAACTTACTATTTTTATTACCCGTTTCAATTTCTACGAATCTATTATTTACCCGTTTAACCTCTAAAAGGCCCTAGGAACCTTCTAAAATTATATTAATAACGTCCTATATAATATTTTTAATATATATACAATAGCGTATTTCAATAACGTCTTAATTTATTTAAATAATAAAGAAAATTACGAAAATTACGTTAGGGAAGTCCTATAATAGATAATTCGAGTTGGACTATAAATCGATATTAATAAATACGAATTCTATATTATAAGGATAAAATATTTTAGTTTAATTATTACCCTAGGAGGACTCGAAATAGATTCTAATAAGGTATCCGCTATTATAATTTAGGAGGTTCTAAAAATTAAGAGGGTACTATAGTATTTTTTAAGTTTTACTAATTTCTACCGATAATTTATTAAATATTTCTCGATTATCGCCGGTCTATTATACGAATTAATAAAAAAATCGGTAGAATAATAATAGACCAACCGCTATTAAAAGTCTTTTAAAACTTTTAAAAAGGCTTTTAATAGTAGCCTAGTACTTTAAATTTATAATTAATTAAAATAGACTATTATTAAAACGGATACTTCGAATTAGGCTTATAGTAGCACTCTATCCTAATATAATAAGGAGGGTATTTTATACTTAATCGCCTACTTCAATTAATAATATTCTTCGGCTAAATATAATTATAATATTTATAATAAAGAATTATTAATTATTATTAAAGCCCTTAAAGAGTAGCGCCCCGAATTAGAAAGAGCCTAAGAGCCTTTTAAAATTCTAATCGATTATAGGAATTTAAAAACTTTTATAATTAATAAACAATTTATTCCCTATTATATATATTAATTTTATTTTCTCTTTTATTTTAATTTTACTATTAAATATCACCCCGGATTATTATAAGTATATTCTAACGTACTAAATAGAAAGTCGGAGGATTTACTTAAAAATAAAGCCGATAAATAATTATTAATTAAAAATAAGGTTTTATTTAATTATAATATTTTTATTAATAGAATTTTCGTTTTAGAGGATAGAGGTAAAAAGGTCCCCGTCGGTACCGAATATATTTATAAGTTAGAAATTCTAAACGAAAGGTCAATAGATGATTTAGTAATAGAAGGTTATAAAAAATTAATTATTTTATAAAATATTATCGCCTATTTATCCGACCCTAACCGCCGAATATAATTTAAAGAAGTTAAAGATTATATAAAGAGGGTCCTATTTGTTAAATGCCGAGCGATTTAAGGACGGGCGTATTTTTATAGTATTATCCTTGTTAATTTTATTAATATAAAACTTTATTTTTTATTCCTCTGTTATATTTATAATTCGCCGTCGGCCGGATACCCGGGCTGTAAAAAGACCTATTCATTATTATTGCAATCCTTCTTTTAATTAGGAATATATACTACTATTAAATTGTACTATAAGGCGTATCTAGTATACACTAAGTCCAAGCTATTACGATACGCCCCCTACAATTTTTTAAAATTACTAATAATACTATTCGTACTATAGAAGGATATTTCTATTAATTATATTACTTTACTAATTCTATATTTATACTACGGGCAAGAATTTAAATACATTGTAGTCATTATTGACCGCCTAACTAAAATAAAGTACTATATCCCTACTATCGGCCTAATAATAGAAGAATTAATAGAGCATTTTATTAAAAAGGTTTATAATATTTATAATCTACCGGATTTTATTATCTCCAACTATAACACCTAATTTATTTCGTAGTTTTAGAGAACTTTATTATTATAATTAGAAATTACCCTTAAACCCTCCTCTACTTTCTACTCCGCTACTAATAATTAAATTAAATATATTAATATAGAAATAGAAAAATATTTATATTTTTATATTAATTAGACTCAGGATAATTAAATAGATTAATTACCAATTATAGAATTCGTTAGCAATAATTTAATATTTAAAATTATTAATATCTCCCCCTTCTTTACTAACTACGGATTTTACCCCCATATAAGCATTAAACTAGTAAAATTATACCCGCTAGAAATATTAATAGTACAATAAATAGAGTATTTTAAAATTAATAAACTAACCGACCGTTTTAGGAAAATTTTAAACTTTATTATTAATTAAGCCCGTTAAATATAATAATATTACGAAAATAATACGAACGTTCAATAGTCAGACGCCCTAAAATATAAAATAAAAAATAAAGTCCTTTTTAATATTAAGAATTTTAATACTAACTACCCCTACGTTAAATTTACGCTTCTCTTTAAGGGCCCTTTCGAAATCCTTAAAATAAATAATTATTAGGTAATATTCAAATTTCTAATTAATATAAAATATAGTCTAACGTTTTATATTAATAAAATTAAATTATAGAATAAAAATGGTCTCCTAGGATAAATAAATTCGGAAGAATAGGACGTTCGCATTAATTATAGCCGAACTATAAGGAGGACCGACAATAGGGAGGATTCTATCGAATATAAATTTAAAAAAATAAATAGATATTAAAAAAATAATAAGGGCCGTTGGGAATACCTTATAATTTAAATACCCCTATATATATTATTATAGTAACTATATATTAATATATTTATAACCCCCAATATAATACGGGCCTTCTACGATAGATACCCGGAAGTACTATACTTACCGGCTTAGGTAGCGGCGGAAAAAAAGCGGAAGGAAAAGAAAAAGGAAATAGAGCAGAAGGTTCTAATTCTACGGCGGAAATTACAACGATAATTATTAGTAATAGTAAGGATTTTTTAAGAGCGGACCGCTTATTTAATAAGGATTTCTATTATTTTATATAATATTAGTTAACTATATAGTTTCTTTTAATTTAAGGAAGTATTATAGGGTTAGTCTATATACTTTATACCTAGTACTAGCGTACAATAGCTTTTAAAATTACCGTATATTATTATTATTACCGGTAAGCCGATTATTGCCGGTAGTTAATTAGTTAGAACGCTGCCTGCCGCGGGTCTGTTAGACCCGCCGGCGGTTGCCTTTATAAGGCTAGCCTTCTAGGCACTCGGCTGCACTTCTCTTCCTTTCTCCTTCGTACAATTACACATAATCACATCTACCACCTACCCTTTGCCCGTAATAACTCCGCTTTATAATTCTCTAGTTACGGCGTGTGGGCTGGAGACCTTGCAAGCTGTCGTCCTCCTAATACAGGCGGTTCGGTATCTCTATTATTGTTATCCTCCCACCAATGCGTAACAAACGCGTTCGACATCTTCGCGCTAGAATTCGACGAAATACTAGTTGTTATATACGGTTAAACCTACACAAGTGTTTATTAGCAGTCAAAGAATACCAGTTGATTATTTGAATTGATTTCACGTACGCGTTATAAAGGAATCGCGGCGGCAAGAGTGTGTTGGTACTATAAACAAACACTTGGTAAGGTGGAATCTTTAGCTGTAATTGTAGCTTATTGCGGCTAATTGGGGCTTGAATTATAGCTAATTATAGCTCTATCTTATCTAAGTAGGCTGGGGCCGTACACGGACCCCAGTTTAGCGCTTTGCACAGACCTACAGCCCCAATAAGGCATACAGCCCGCGGATTGTACGGGCTGTACAGCCCCGGTAGCTAAACTATACAGCCCGCGGAGTTCCACTCAATAGATAATGGGCGATCATGACAGGGTGGGGGAAGGTCACGCACACTGTAAGTTACCCCGCGTATCAAAGTTAACTCCGGGGACCGGCTAATGCTAAGTTTCTGAGCTTCCATTGTTTCAATGTTTTATGTTTTTGTAGTATCCCTTAGTTCCTGCGTCGAGGTTGGTTTAAGCTAGAGACAGAACAGTCGTCGATGTAGGTAGACACTATCCTTAATCCAAATCCAAATCAGGACAATCCTTCGGATCAGCATAAAAGACACCCCCGACTTTCTCGATAGCCCTACACCGTTCCTCCATATTATACGCATTGTGTATGATACCTACACCTCTCCCGCGAGCATCACCCTTCGTCGTCTTCAGTATCCAAACTCCTCCCGTCGCCGGCCACCCGGTCGTGACGAAGGGATCGTCTCCTCTCCAGATGTCCCCCCCTATCAACATCATGTCATAATCGTACCTGGCCTTCCACCAGATTGCGCCTAGTTGTCGTACTGATCCCACCGGTTCGTCAGTTATTACCCGGCTGAAAAGAAAGAGTAATAAAGGGAACGGATAAGGAAAACATACGCTTGTAACACCACGCATCCTCATCGGCCTCCTCTTCAGCAGGGTCAGAAAATGACTTTCGTGGCGTAGGGTGGAAACGGTCCAGGCCCAGGAAGTCAAGCTCCACGCCCAGGACGCCTTCTAGCACGTAGACGCCGCCTTTCTTCGACGGGTAGCCGAACAGCGTCGCGCCGGGACCGAGACCGAAGTCGACTCTGAAGCGTTCGACAGGCTCATGGGGACAACCCCTGGATCCAGTACCTGCACTTATTGCTTCTCTACTCGGAGGATGCGATGCAGAACCCGTAAAGACGTTATACATCATAAAGTTAGTGCCATAGGCGAGCAGGAGAATTCCGGCAAGTGAGTAGAGGCATGTAGATAAGATCGCCATTGAGTTCATCACGGCTCATGGTTCTGCATTTGCTGAGGAAGGGCTGAATTGAGGAGGCATGTAAATAGTTCAAGCTTGGAGGGGGCGAAGAGGCCTCGAATTGAAATTAAGCGAGCCATGTCTGCATACTTGCATACCTTATCTATAGACCTAATCGAACGAGACGAGGTGGTAGACCCAGAACTACATCTATCACAGTAGCGTAGCATTATATCCCGATAAATACCACAGGGTTACCATTCTCGTCCCTACCTTCCTCTCTGGCTCAATAAACCGAGGCTTCCGTCTGCACAGCACGATAGTCAGGGTCTTTCCTGTCGCAATTGTAACCGCCTACGGACCGCGGCCCACGGACCGTCGCCGTCTTCCGACACTAACTTCTCTCCCCCTCAACCGCCCTCAACAACGCAACTCTCTCGCCATCGTCGACTCCTTGAGTGTGCTTGAGTCTAACCCATTTCGACCCTCTCCCATATGGTGAGTTGCCGCCGTTCCCGGTTTGCGTGCTGTATCTAACTACAACGTAACATAGAAGCCAGGCCCGCTATATAAATGCTTTAAGGCTCTACAAACCCCGGAAGGGTGGACTTGATGTTGACGCAGATGTACTCGTCGCTCTACTCCCTGATAGTTTCAAATCCGATAGTCGTAACATTCCTGGTGCAACGCCGATGCGCCCTTGTATTTTCCTCCTTAGTCAGGAAGTGACTTCCGTGTGCCGTTGTGTTCAACGATGGGATTGCTACCTGGTTCGAGGACTCGGACGTGAGTCGGCCATCAAGTCTGTGACAGCCCTCCTTTTAGGTGCAATTCTTGACGCTAACTGACCAGACTACCTATTGACGACGATGTGCCATTACAGCAGCGGAGATGGAGTTTTCCGCGCCAGATAGCGTCGCCATGGACGGGGCCGCATCCTCCTTGGTGTCACTTGCGGTCAACAGTGCGTGGGCGGCACGCTTGATCGGGCACATCTTCTTGACCACGGGGTTGTTCATTGGTAGCAAGACGGCCGAGTAGGACGACAGGGGCGGAGTATAAAGGTCACGGTGTTGTCGGCCGACTGAGCGATGTTGGAAATATTATTATTCGTGAAGAGATAGCCAGCAGCGGGCCCTAACAACAAGCTTCTACGATGAGGGTAGTACGGCTGCTCACGACCCTGGCTCTTGGCCTCTCTAGCAGCGGTCTAGCGTCGGCCAGAAGCGTCTTCGCACATTTTATGGCAGGTCTACCACTTATCAGTCTTTGAGAGTACATGAGAGCAAGAACTGACCCCTACAAGGTCGACAATGCTTCCAACTACACCTTGGGTGACTTGACAACAGATATACAGCTCGCCCAACAGGCTCACATTGATGCATTTGCCCTCAATGTGGCTTATAGGGATAACCTGGACTCCATCCTACCCTTGGCCTTTCAAGCAGCTGCCAACCGGGGCTTCAAGCTCTTCTTCTCCTTCGATTACGCTGGTCATGGGGCATGGCCCAAGGACAGTGTCGGTACAATGCTCACAAAGTACAGAACACTCCCAGCATACTTCATATATAAGGGCAAGTACTTTGTCTCCACGTTCGAGAGCCCGGACTCCGCCGACGACTGGATCGATCTGAAATCCCAGTACAATGTCTTTTTCATGCCTGACTGGTCTTCACTGGGAGCCAAAGAGGCCTTACTGAGGGGAGGCGGTGTTGCCGATGGCCTGTTCAATTGGGCTGCTTGGCCCTGGGGTCCCCAGGACATGGACACATATACCGATGCCTCATACCTTCAGTATTTAAACGGGAAGCCATACATGATGCCTGTATCACCGTGGTTCTTCACCAATCTTCCTGGTTACAACAAGAACTGGCTATAGAGAGGAGACAGTCTATGGTATGATCGCTGGGTACAGGCGGCGTTCAACAAGACGACCCCCGGCATCATCGATAGCACAGAATTCGTCGAGATAATCTCTTGTAAGAACCCCCTGGTGGCTGACCTCTCTGCCTCACATTGGCGCGATCTGACGTTGTATAGGGAATGATTATGGCGAGTCACACTACATCGGTCCCCTTTACGACAAGGCGATGGAGGCTTTCACCATTGGCCAAGCTCCTAGCAACTTCGCGAAGGACATGCCGCATGACGGGTGGCGAATGTTCCTGCCTTATGTTATTGACCTTTTCAAGACCGGGACTGCCACCATTACCCAGGAAGGTCTGACGGCTTGGTAAGTCTGCGTCGACATGCCAACTCTATGCTGGGCACCGGAGGTGACGTTGAGAGCCTAGTGCTAAAGAGAAATTGACACCAGGTACCGCTTATCGCCGGGTGCAGCCTGTGTTTCCACCGGCACCTCGGGCAATACTGCCAGCCAGCTTCAGATCGAGTTCTCGCCCGCTGAGATTGTCCAGGACAGGATTTTCTTCTCTGCCCTGCTCACCTCCGAAGCCTCGATCTCGGTCACTGTGGGTGGCGTACCTCAATCGGGAGGTGGTTGGTATGCTCTGATCTCTATCTTGCTCCGCAGATGCCTGATGGCTGCCACTGAGTTTATGCTAACCCAACTATATCAAGGACGTGGAAACCTGACGATAGGGTTGGCGTCTATCACGGCAGCGTTCCGTTCAGCGGCACTGGCAATGTCGTTGTCACACTGGTTCGGAATGGAGCTCAGATTGCCCAAATCAATGGACGGGCAATCGGGGGCGGATGCCCTGCCAGTCTCTACAATGCTTGGGTCGGCTCTGCTCCTGTGGCTGGTAGCGTGTCCAGGAGCCCGACACTCCCCCTCTCACAGCAGACATGCGTCAGCGGCATAGGCGTGAATAACTTTGGTGGGCTCTGCGGTTATGCCTGTCAGTTTGTAAGTCTCAAGCTAACTCTTCAACCGCCACGTCCGCCTGGTCCATGTTCTAATTTCTACTATGATAGGGCTACTGTCCTATCTCGGCCTGTACATGCCGGCAGATGGGCAAACCCATCACAGCACCCAAGGAAACAGGTATCCAGGGATACCCAATTACTGGAGAGGATGCAAGTTACTCTGGCCTCTGCTCATGGGTCTGCAATCATGGTTATTGCCCTTCCTCCGCATGCGGGACTACCAAGGTTCCGCTCACCATTCCAGATGTTTCGGACTTCGCTCCCCCGGCTTGCAGGCAGGGTACTGGACAGGGTGGACTATTGGGTCTATGTCAGTACAGCTGTAACTTCGGTGAGTCTGCTCGATCCCGTACCTAGCGCGACTGTTTGTCTTCGCTTTCGTGGTTGCGGTGTGGCCGGTTGCTAACAGAAGTCTCAACAGGATACTGCCCAAGAAATGCGTGCACTTGCACTGCACAGGGCGCTTTGATCAGCTCACCGCCAGCGGATCAGAGACTCACGGCCACGGGGATTGCCGGACTAGAGGACCAAGGTCTCTGCCAATTTGCCTGCAACACAGGTTATTGTCCAGACGTTTGTGTCTCATCGCCTCAACCAAAAGCGCTTGAAGATGATTTCACCGCCGCACTGAAGCTGAACGGCATCAACGTGGCTGATTTCGCAAACTACAATCTGAGCGACCTTTCCACACGTCTCATCGGCTGGGACGAATGTACAGCTGCTAAGGGGAGGCCTTGGCAAACTGTATACTCGGGCTGGCAGCAGTCTTGGAAGATTATGAATCTTATATACTCGCTGGCCTCAAAGGGGATAAACTTCAACGAGGCATCCGCTGTCGAGTATCTCGGAGCACCAGGATCTACCCTCTCACGGCGGCAGGACTTCAAGGACATCTTCCTCAATCTGGCTACAATCCAGCCCGGCTACATCTTCGACCCCTTTGCCTGGAAAATCGCTGTGCGGTGCGATGACTGGGCGCTGCAATGCACATGCAAGCTAGGGTCGTCGAAAATGCAGGCCTACACAGTGAACTTCGACCCGAAATTACAAAAGGGCGAGCATCAACTTCTGCGATGCATACTTTGCCTCAGATACCCTCGACCAGGCAATGGAGAACGCCAACAAGGGTTATCCCTTGTCCTATTGGGCCGACCTGACGAGATACGAGCCGAACCAAGGGGCCACTTGGTTTCACGAGCTACTGCACATCGACTGGGTATCACTCTCTGGCGACTACGGCGACAACGAAAGGGTCGTGGACCTAAAGCTATCTTTTCCGCACAAGCCAAGCCCCTTGATCTACGATGCCTATTCGCCCTACTTGTGCAAGGCGCTGGCGCGGCTGAGGCAAAACGCCGCGGACTGGACAATCCGCAACGCCGACAGCTTGACTCTCTACGCCCTGGCCAATTACGTGCAGAACAAGATGGAAAACCTCTACCCACACTTACCGCTGGCACCGCTCCCACCAGATAGTGCGTTTGAACCATTCGTGGACTCAGACCTGTTCAGCATAACTACAGACGGCACGGTGACGCTGGCCTCCAACACCACGCTGCTCGACGAGGTGGCCTGGGACGGCAGCGGGGTCTGTGCCGCCATCGACGACGGCGACAGCAGCAACACCGACCCGAGCGCCTTCCTCACAATAAGCGGCGGCGGCTTCGCTCTCCAGTCAGACTATCCTGCAGACTACCTCTCCAGCCTGTCGTCCTGGCACGGACTGACGCCCACGACGACCAAGAGCGCCCCGACGCCGACCGCAACTTGGCGGATGGCCATATACAGCGAGAAAGACTGCTCTGGCGACTACTACTCGCTGGATGGCCACAACATCGAGTCCCTGGACATGCCGTGCCTGGCTCTCCGTGGCGGGAGTCTCCCACAGACGTCGGACGACGGGGCGACCTGCCGCTGGTTCACCAAGGGCGGCGGTGCCTGGGACTCGTGCGAAAAGAGCACCCTGACGCATCCCCTGTCGTGGATCGTCTTCGGCGGCACCTGCACCGCCTACGACACGAGTAACACGTGCAGCCACAGCGCTTTGAGCCAGGCCTACACGCCGTATGAGGGCTGCCATAACTACGATGCCTCGGCGTTCGATATCAAGAACTGGGTGTCCCTGAGGTGCGGCGCCTTTGGGGCCAAGAAGTTCGCCAATGGCACGACGGTGGGCAACGGTACGGCGGCAGGCGGCAACGCCACGGTGGCTTGGTCCAGTCGCCCCGTGTCTCTTCCCAGTATCTCGACGCTGCGAACCTCGTACGTCTCTTCGGTTGAGGCTCCGCGTCCGACGGCGATGGTTTATACTTGACAATAACTGGGCGGTCTATCTTGGATGCCGAGTATGAGATCATACACCCAAGGCTTTGATATGGGCTTATGGCTGGGCATCACGATATGGATGTGCGTCTGCCTGTATGTGAACCATTAGACATGAATACAAGAGCCCATACATGACAAGTGCCAGGAAACGCGGAACTTCCACAAGTCACAGGTCACACCAGGTAAGAGAGCAAGTGGACGACTGGTAGAGGCTGCCTCACAGTAGTTGGGTAAAACCCTAGTACCGAATCCATGATACTCATTCCTATAACCAGTGCAGATAATCTACCATTTTCACGCTCCTTCCCAGTAGGAAGAGCCACCGTGAAGGGCAGTCGTCTTGGTATCCCGAACTCTCACTGGTCCTTCCAGGTTATGTTCTGATCCGCAAGCCCTCCAAGTCTCTCATTACAGCCCCAGACAAATCATCCAGGCCCCTATCCGCCAGACCAGATTGATATCAACCCTCCCCTCTTCCCTCTCCACAGTACTTACAGCCAGCCAACCCCAGCCAGATCAATCAACCAGACTCTAATCCCTGAACCGCGCACTCTCCCTCTCAGCCTCAAGCCTCCTTATCCTCTCCTCCTCCTCATCGCCCCCATGTCCAATAGCAACGACCTCCCCCCTCCGTCCCTTCCGACGGGTACTGCTCCTCCTCTCCCCCGCTCCCACTTCCTGGCTCTCACCATCATTCCCCCGTCCCCTCTTCTTGGCTAACTATTCTTTTAAAATATAGTATAAAAATTACTTATTTAATAAACTTTAGAGACCGGCTATTTACCCCTTAGATTTTAGTAGTATATTTTATCGAAATTAAATATTCGAATATTGATAAGAAATTTTAATTAATAATTAATTTTATAGCGCCTAAATCTACGTAAATTTCGGTTTCTTCTACCTTAGGCGAAGCTTTAACTATAATACAAAAATAAATATAATTTGAAAGAGGCCCCTTAAATATTTCTTTATCCTTATAAACCGGTACCTTAATTATTAATAGTCCGTCGGCGGGAAATACTAATTTCTGAAGAAATAAATACCTATACCCTATTTTAGTATTAGTGTAAGTATTAACGTAATTAAATAAAATATTTCGGGAAGGGAATACCTCCAGGCAATATATATATATTCTATACGAAGGGGCAATTACAAAGGGCGTACATAATTACTTATATATTAAATACAATTTTATATAACGGTATTTTACCTTTATTAAAAGGAATTTCTTATAATAATAGGTATACTTCAATTTACTACTAAAATTAGAATTAACTATATCCGCCGTATAGAAAATACTGGTACTATTAGTAGAATTGGAATTTCTTAATAAAAGCAAAATATCGCTAATATAAGTAATTTAGTTATCCTTCAAATTCTAGTTAATTTCTTTATTACTTGTATTATTAATATAATAAAATCTATCCCTACAATTATTATAGCAATTGCGGTCGTTATATTAGTTACAATTATTACGTCGGTTGCAATTATTATAACGATTACAATTATTACGGCAGTTACGGTTGTCCTAACGGTCGTAATTATTGCGTCGATTATAGTTATTACGGCGATTATTATATTAAAATCCTTAATTAGTACAATTATCTTAATTTTATCCGTATTAATTAGTAGGAATAATCACCTTAACCTTTATAACGATACTAATAATCTTTTAATAAATATATAAGTATTATTTACGGGTAACTACTAGTAAGACTACTTTAGTACTTTCAATTTCTACTAAATATTCGGCGAATATACCCTTCTTACTAAGGGGGTTAAAGTATTATTTAATTTTAAAGTCTATACTAATCTAAATCTAAATTATGATACTATACTAATTTTCACTAGTACAATAAGAAATACCTATTGTACAAATATAATAGAATTTACGCTAACTGAATTAAAATAAAGTATTTTTATTATAGGTAATATCCTTAAATTTAACGCGATTTTTAATAAACTTTCTAATTATTAAGACGCCCATGCATTCAGAGCTCGAGCGTTGTCGTGGGCCGAAAGGTGACATGGAAGATCCGTACCAAAGGTCGTGGTCTATGGGCCTACCCAACGCTGCAAGTGAGGAAGGCGCGGCGTATTTGTCTATAATGGGCTAGAATGTAAAAAAAATGGTCACTCTGTGATCTGTGCGTTCTGTCTTGGCAGTCCTAAAAGGGAAAATTTGGCGCTAAGTAGGATACGGTTTGAATAGTAGAGTGAAAAAGCTACTTTTTCCTTTGCAATGGAGATTGCTCCGCGACTGTCGCGTACATCGAAATGCATATAGTATTAGAATGACGAGAAAGAAAAGGCGGTTATTTTGGTACCGGTTGCATTGTGGTGCACGCGATGGTTGTTGAGAAAAAAGCAAAAGAAATCGAAAATGAAGATTTTAGTTGCGACCGTAGTAAATGACTAAGTCCCAGAAATAACTAAGTCCTAGAAATGACCAAGTCCTAGAAATGACCAAGTCCCAAAAATAATTAAGTTCTAAACTACACTATTAACCCTAAAGAGTTAGGGAGGGGGTTAGGGTTAGGGTCCAAGATGGAAAATTCTGGAAAAGAGAAAAAAATAAAAAAAAAAATTTCAAAATTTTGCCTTCGAGTTTTTTTTTTTTTTTTTTTTTTCTTTTTTCTTTTTTTCATTACCCTTTTTTTTTTCAAAGGTTAATAATATAAGGAAAAAAACTCGACAGTTGATTTAAATAACTATTAAAGCTTTGTAGCTTAGTGGTTATTCTTACTACTACCTTTTTTAAAGGTTACCTGTTCAGTTCAGTTTTGAGTTTTTTTTTTTTTTTTTTTTTTTTTCTTTTTTCAATTATATAGCAAGTAATTTCTAGGGGCGTCTCTCTGTCTCCCCTGGACATTGGCTCCGCCCAGGGGAACTGTATTTTAATAATAGAGTTAAGTAAAAAACGGTTAATTAACGCTTTAAATATAAATTTAAAACCGTTTTAATAAAAATATTTATATTTAAAGAAGTCGATTTTATTACTCTTGTTGGGCTTACTATATATATTATATAAT